CGCGGGCTGTTCTAGATGCGGCGCGAAGGGGCCCTGTCAAGTTGGAATGGGCCGCCACAGAGGAGGCACTAGTTGCGGGGTTCGACAACCCGGTCGACTGCCAAGACGCGATGCGGCGGTTCAAGGCAGAATGGCTTGGAGCGGGAGCGGACCCGTTCGTCTTCGCGGTCCACTTCAGTGAATTGCTGGCGCGGGGGCTGCGTAACTTGGAAGAGGAGTCAAGACAACAACTGTTCGTGGAACAGTTTATGAATGATCTCCCTCCGACGGTAGCCGATCGTCTCCGGATTGTACACGCCACCCAGAGAACTGACGTGATGGTGCTTGCCCAGGTAGCGAAGCGGCTTACACATGAATCAGTTGCTGCGTTGGCAACGAAAAACAAAGGAAAGGCGATTGAACGAGTAAGAAGAGAGACTGGAACAGATTACGCAAAACATCGGGGCACTTCGAGTTCTCTCACAGAAGGTACGGCTGAAGGGACGCTGCTTCGTTTGTGGGAAACTAGGACACTGAAAGCGTCAATTTCCGACAAATCGCAGTGCAGCCTTTGGTCGAAATAAATCCTACCAATCGTATTGTTCTCGTGTTGGGAGTGCATCCTTAGGGCGTTGAATAAAGATGCGATTGAGGCGATGATCGAGGTGAGTGGTGGTTGATACAGGAGCCGCAGTTTCCGTAATCACTCACGGAGATGGGTTGGAAACTCAAGCGTGTTCCATGCTTGGGAAGGCGGTCGGTGGTTACCATTTACGCATAGATGGTATGGCGGAATATATGGCTGAGGTTAGGGGTCGGAAGTTAAAACATCTCTTCATCGTATCGCCGGACACAAAGCAGACTATCCTGGGTGCTGACTTTCTCCAAGTCAGTGAAACAATCGTCGATCTGAAATTAGGAAAGCTGGTTACGAAATACGGAGCTATCCAGCTTGTTAGCAGAGAAGAACCCATGAGGGTGTGCTCGGTCGTGGCCCTTTTTATTACAAGTCCAGTCCTTCAATCGCTTGTGAGCAAGTACGATATCCTATTCACGGACGATAGTAGTCCTTATGAGTTTTGTGACTGAACCGAACACACAATTCCACTATCCCATCAGCCGTATCGGCCGCACGGACCCAGAAGAGTACCAATACACCTGGAAGCTGAGGTCAGAAGGCAGGTGCAGGAGATAATGAATGCAGGCGTAATAGAGGAGGCTCACAGCCCATATACCTCTCCACTCGTTTTGGTGAATAAAGCCAACGGGAGGTACCGCTTTTGCGTGGATATCAGAAGGCGGAACGAAATATCGCTGTGTCGATTCGTCCCGATACCTTTAGTCACGGACATTTTTGATAAACTGCAGAAGTCAAGGATATTTACGGTACCGGATCTGAGCTCTGGCTACTGGCGATCAAACAAGAGGACCGAGAGAAGATAGCGTTGACAGTCAGTGACAAACAGTACCAGTTGAAAAAGATGCCGTTTGGATTAGCTGGTAACCCTTTGACCTTCCGACGTTTGATGCTGCGACTACTGGATGGATTAGAGTAGGTGACCGTATACGGCGACGATATCGTTGTGTATAGTGTAACGGAGATAGAACACTACGGTCATCTAGAAGCAACGCTGCAAAAGATTCAGCGGTCTGGATTACGGATAAATGGGCCGAAAACTCAAATCGGGAAGATGTCAGTGACACTGCTTCGTCACAAGTGAGTCAGAATGAAGTCAAGCCGCTGCCATAGAAATTACTGGCAATTCGAGACACCAGTTCCGATCTCAAAGCACAGTCTCCGGGAATTTTTGGGCCGCGCTGCATATTCCAGTACATTTGTCAGGAATTTGAACAGCTTGGCGTCACCTTTGTGTGAGTTGTTATGAGAAGGAAGGAAGTTCATTTGAACACCAGAGGGTCAGCAAAGGTTTGATGACATTCAGAAGGAGATGGGCAGACAGGAACTGACTCTAACATTGCCGATCGCCGGGGAAACGCTCACTGTGGCTACAGACGCAAGCGACGTCGGAATCGGTGCGGTGCTGAAGCAGAAGCAGGGCACGGTGGAATACGCTAGTAGAATTTTGGCCCCATCAGAACGCAAGTATTCGACAGTGGAGAAGGAGTGTCATGCAACTGTGTGAGCTCTAGACAAGTGGTGGCATATTTGTTGGGTCAACCGTTTCACATCGAAACCGATCACAAACCATTGGAATGAATTAGGTCCTCCAGAGACCCCAGAGGCAAGTTGGCGCTACACCTACAAGAATGCGACTTCAGGATATACCAAATACCGGGGAAGAACAACGAGACGGTGGGTTTTCTATCACGCATGACGAACGATGGGGATTTGCCGAGTGTTACCTACGGTGTCGGTGGTCTAGTGCTGGAGCAGGACCCGAGTAAGTTAGCGGCTGAACAACGGAAGGACAGATTTTTGAACAGAGTGATGCCAGCACGAATAACGAACCAACTGCTGCAACAAAAATCAGAGCCAGCAATTCGGGTCATTCTCACAGAAGCTGGAAAAGCTGAATGTCAACGAAGCCGAACTTCTGATGTGGACACAAGGACGCGATGCTACGCCGGTGCCGGTGATCCCCTTTAAATTGAGGAAGAAGTTGGTTACGGTGTGGCTCTCTTCTATCCTGCACTCCACGACCGACGGTTTCGTCTTTGTTTAGACTCATCAGGTAGTGATAGCCGAGCTAGGAGTGGAACTCGGCGCATAGTGCTTGGTGACTATCGCCATGATCATTAGGCCATTGAGCTCCGCGAGCAGTTGGTTATTTCGTGTCACGAGATGGCTCACACCGGGTGCACCAGGACATATGAGTTGCTTAGACAGCGAGCTTACTGCTGAACATTAAGAAATACATCGATTAGTACGTGCTCTCGTGTCAGCAGTGTCAGCTCCTGAAAGGAGACAATCAAGGGGCACCACAACCTATGTTCTCGATTTCAGTGTCCGAAATCGGTGAGTTGTGGTCAATCGGCGTGATGGGGCCGTTCCCCTTAACCAGACGAGGCAGTCAGTACATAGTCGTGATGACCGACCACTTTACCCGATGGATTGAGGCGGCGGCGATTCCTGATCAACGCGCTGGCACCATAACACATGCCATGATGAAACACGTGATAGCGAGTCACGGGATTTCGAAAGTTATACTGACAGACCAGGCCGCATGCTTTGAAAGTGATGAATTTCGGACTTGTTTGGAGAAGCTGGGCATCAAGAAGATACGGACCACTCCCCATCATCCTCAGACAAGCGGATTAACGGAGATGAATAATAGAATGATTAAAGAATGGTTGGCGGCGAAAGGGGGAGATTGGGAATAAGTCTTACCACTATTGTTACTAGCGCACTGAGCGTCCAAGCAGGCAAACACCAAGAGATCCCCATTCCAGTTAGTGTACGACCGCAGACCACGACTTCTGGTAAATCTTGTGATAGGAGTTTGGCCGAGTTGCCAGGTACCGCCAAGGGAACCAAGGAACGACAGAAAATTAGCCAACCGAAATCTGAACGCAACTCAGAACCGGAGGATGGAAAGCTCCCCAGTCAACATGAGAAAACCACCAATGGATTTCCCAATCGGTTCGAAGGTGAAATTCAGAGACCACCAACGTGTGATCGCACGTGGCCCCGGAGAGAGGAAACTCCTGCCGAAGTGGAAAGGGACTTATGAAGTAATCGGTTGAAGAGGGCCCGTATACACCATCGCCCTGCAGAGAGATAGGCGGCGAGTCCACGCCAGTGAATTGCGGAAATAGTATGGACGAGCAGAGGAAACGACAACATGCATGAAACAGCCTCGAAGATCGGAGAGACTACGTGCGAGGTCATCTTTCGCGAACCCTTTGGAGGGGGGGAATGTGGTGCAATACATATGAGTAGTATGGATATCAACTAGGGCGCACAAGGGAAACAGCTAAGTCATGAGATGCAGGCAGACGAAGGTATAGAAAATCAACCAGACGACGTACACGAGAGGCACGGGACAACCTAGACAGATGCTCGGTGAATGAAAGGTTGCAATGGCGCATCGCTCCAGAAAGGTGCCGCGAAAGTCGTGTGCAAAGTGGACTCGCTTCCTATGTTCCAGTTATTATGGTAACCAGACATGCGTTCTCCAACAAACATCCTGTCCGCCCCTCCACGTTCCTCGCACAGACGCCGCCCTAGGACTAGTCCCTACGGAACTCCACATTCGACCTGAATCGGATCCGATGCTTACCTGTAGTCTACACTTTTGCAAAAAGACTCCTGGTCCGTCCAAATACAGTATCCACCCTGGGAAGCATAATTCGGTGGTCCAGAAAGTCAAGGAATTCGCTTTCTCTCCACTCGCCAAGCGCTTCCGTACAGCTACCGCCTGCAATCAGTATGTTGGCTGTGCATGAACATAGTGCTGGCGGAAAGTGTGCTGCTCCCGAGTCACAGTGTCGTAGCGTTCCAATCGGTGATTAAGTGACCTCTAGTCGACCCTTGGTTACATTGTCCTTTTAAGAAAAGCATTGGTGGTGTGTACACGATTGGACAGAAGATGCGAAAAGACACTTGTAGCTCTCAGTCTGCAAGTGTCTTGATGTTCTGCTTAAAAATGAAACAAGATGTTTTCTTTCTGAAGCTCAATCTGCCTCAGTACTTTTTTCATTCTCCTCGTCACCACCAACCATAAGCACAGCCAAAACAAATTTTCAGTTCTAGACATCATTACTGTGCTTCTCAACACAGATCTTAGGTACTTAAATATTTGTACGTCAAAAAATCGACAGCGGTAGAAGAAGTACACTTGAATTCTGGCTAGTGCTTTCCTAACACGCAGCATGCAATTGCTTTGGTATTTACAAGTGAGATATAAATGCCTGCTATTTTTCACGCAACAGACATACAAAGTATTCCAAATCGTAGTAAAAGCGCCCGACAATTGGCGGGACGGATCCATCACCCAATGGTTTTCGAAGCATACTGCGCCGCACAAATCAAGCTTTGGAGAAAAGCGCAGTTGTTTTTTGGTGAGGCAGCTGAAAATGAAAGTAATTGTATTGAATACACCAACAAATTTGACACCGATTGTTAGACCAAATAAAGTGTCTAGTAGGACAATTAATCGCAGATGATAAGGTAAAATATCACAGAACTTGTAGCTAGAACTTCGGTTGACACAAGTACAAAGTGAGCACTTTTTTCGTGGATATAGTTTAGAGTTTCAAACTGATACAGCAAAAATGTCAGAAAGTATCTGAAAGGAAGTATGTAGATTATTCGACGGCTAGTAGTTGTGGCTTTGAGCTTTTGGCCTCCTCCGAACTGATTTCATACTTGTTGCTCTCGAATTCTTGGATCAAATTTGTCAGCAACATTGCATCATCTTGTTGCACCTCTAGGTCTTCCGGGCACAAGGGGAGAATTTCGTTTTTCAAGAAATCGGCAATTTTATACACATAAGTTCTGTTAGGGCCGATGATCCCTTGTGCACAAAATATTTGGTAGGCCTGAGAGAAAGACAGACAAAAATTCAGATAGTTTTCTGTGATTCACTGGGTCTGGATATCAAATAATTCCTAACCTTATGTCGTTACTTGCACAAACTGCTTTTATTCATCCACAAAATGCTAAATGATCGGGCTATCACATCACATCTGAAAGATATCCATCACCAGTCAAGCATTAACATTCAACTCATCTAATTGAAGTGTTTGTCCCTCGCCTGAATGGACGCTTGGTTCCCAATCAAACCTGAGGTCGCTGGCCCCCCACAGGACAGAGAGAAGACCGGATCGGAGGAGCAGAGCAACAGGAATGAATTAGTAAATCACACCGTTTCTTATAAAATTAAAATGGAAACTTCGTGAAATGTATTTAAAGCGACTGTGGAAAGCTCTGGAAAGGTTAACTTACGACCAATAAAGGAACTTCGACCTAGCGTTCATTGGCCGCTTCTCCTGGTTGGCTTTCTGTTCGCCCCAATCAGGGCGGATGAGTTTGGATCGCCGGCAACGGCGATGTGGTCCTGGCTTGTTCCACTCGCGTATTCCTTCTTAACACTAATAACGACATCGAGCTTAGCATATCTGTGCGATATGGCTTGACTGTCCAGCAAGTTATTATTTAAGTTGGAACATCAATGATATAGAAGTCAAACTTAGTAGTACAAGATGTCCAGGTAGTGGTCGAAGGCTTTCTTGTGCTCGACAGCTTTGCAGCAACGTTTCCCATTCCAATCGAACCAGTATAATCAGTGCGTTATTGTGTGGGTCCAGGACTTTCTTGTTGGATGAAAGTGGAGCGTACAAGTCGACGGCCATCTGACTGGTTCGTCGAACACTCCCTATTTATGTAGATGTCTACTTGACCAAAACTGGTCGGTAAATCCTGTCAGTGAGGTCCTTTTCCACTGAGCCTTTTGCTGTGGTTCTGTGGTTTTTATACTGCCGTTATTTGCCATGTCGATAACGCGTGTCACGGCTGAAAAGTTACCCACCACGGGTGCATAAAACGCATCCACGACTTGACTTGGCGTCTTCCAGGGCAAAGTGATGGGGCTCACTCTGTTCCTATTCCACATCAAGGATATACCCACTTTTGTGGTCACCGTGTGCCATTTCTGCGGATAAGCTGAGGACTTGGAGAGTGATTCCAACCCCAGACGACTGCGGCCCATTTCATCAAGACTTCAACCGCCTTTCCATGTGGTCAGCAGAAGTCGGCCTCACTATCAACCCAAGCAAGTCGGTATTCATGAGTTTGAGGAAGGGTAGTGACGGCCGAGTTAAAACGATTGACCGCCAAGCTTTACCCTCTACGCCTCCCGTGAAAATAACCTTAGTGTAATGTTGCGCTGCGGTTCGAAGTACGTGGAAATGGATCTAAGTGACAAATGCTACACAAAAACGTGACAAAGTGTAACGTCTAGACTACTGATGTTTTACGTTCCACGCCGGAATACTTTGGCGTTTACTTCTTTCCATTTCCCACCCTGTAAGTATTGTGAACTTATTGCTTGTTTATCATGTATCAACAAGCATTAAAGTACTGAACACAAACAGGTCAGACAGAAACGGACTGCGCAAACTTTGGACGCCCAAAATTAGCTTCAGCACATTGCCTCGAGAGGTTACCACTGGCTTCTTCACTTCCATCCAAAGACCAATACTAGACTACAGCTCGCTCGCCTATTGTCCAATAACCCCAGGTGTGGCATAGAAGATCGAACGGGCCCAATGTGTCGCTACCAGGCTCATTCTGAGGATTGACGTATGAAGACCAGTATGAGAAACTAAACCTCTATATATTGCCCTATCATCAGCTTCGAGTCGACCTCCTCGTAATTCACCGTATAGTCCGTTGCGTCGGCTTCCCAAGTTGAAGCCGCCACTTCAATTGCGAACGTGATGCACTACACGCGGATGGGCGTACAAGTTTATGACTGTGGGTATAAAGCGAGTTCCCAATGCACTATATTGCGAACAACGAGTGATAAATGTTTGGAATAGTCTGCCAGAACAAGCCATGGGGGCCAAATCTGAGCAGCAATTCCCAATGTGCCTGGATCAAAACGACTTGATGCAGTGGTAGTTCGGGTTGATCGTTCCTGAGTTCACTTGTTCGCTGAGCTTTGAAATTGGGATGCAACGGTTTCATCACCAAGCGAGGTGACTTCGTCAGTGCACTGCTGGGTTCAATCTAATCCGCTGACTTGTTCGTCGACGAACACGCTTGGTGAGTTAACGTTTGCATCCAAGTCCGAAGCTCGGCGAACAATTGAACTCAGGAACTTGTCTGGATTTACAAATCACCAACATTTAATGCAGTGAATCATGGCACGATAGCAATATGGTGCTACCTATGTAAACGTATTGAAACTGTAGAGCACATATCTTTAACTGCTATATAAGTACTGGAACAACGATTCAATTATAACCGGTAGTCGATATTTTTACAGCAGTTTCGATGGTGGTACAGCTTTAAACTGATACTTGCTCGTAAACTACAGTATTCAGTAACGGAGCAGTGTGCGAAGTGGTAGTACCTGTGCAACATACTTTCATAAGAATCTCTATCCATATTGAAGCTGCAGTGAGCGATCACATTCATCTTCGCAAGTCTGAAGCAAATCATGATTTGTTTACTTTTGAGTGATTGTCTTTTATCAATCGAACGGTGTGTTTGGTCTACTCTGATGAGGCACATAATAATCGGTTCACACCATTGGTCTATTATCTGCATTCCGTACTTGCAAACCGAACCCATAAGCGTAGGAGTTCGCATCAAAGCCCCACTGTAGACAAGAAACCATCGTTTTGGGGTTTCTAATTGTTAGGACCGCACATACTCTGAATGGTGATGACCGGTTAAATAATCCTAAGAAGGTTGCAGCGAAAGGCGTTTAAAATATTATGTTCCTTATTGTGAGTGCATCGCACCAACTTCCAAATCAGATTGTCCTCCACATGGAGTTCCGGCCTGTTGGGTGTCGTTAGTAGAACACATCCATCGGATATATCAGGATTCGGACCCATAATCATTAGTGGCTTGCTCCGCCGCTACTGTTAATAGCTATGTACAACAGCTTTTAGAAATTTCTTGGGCAGATGTATTTTAATGTACTGATAAGTAGAGGATTTTGATGTTACTTAGCTGGGAGTTCATCGCACCAACTTCCAAATCAGATAGTCCTCCAGATGGGTTCGAATCTTGATGGATCCGATAGATGCGCAGTACTGACGATGCCAAACAGGTTGAAACTGCGGTCCAGTGCTTTGCCGAACACGTGAAGGAATATCTGATTTGGTGCGATAAACTCTGTTAGCTGTACAATAAAGCTGCACGCCGTAACGGCGTTTCGCTGCCGTGCGACCACACCTAGTCGCACACGGGCTGAGTATACCGCGAGGATGCCCACCCCTACGCGGATTCGAACCCGCACCGCAAGATTATGGGACACGCACGTTACCTCTAGGCTACTGGCCTACGTACGAGTACATCAAAACGTAAGCTACTGAAGTTATGAAATAGGTGATCAGAACATGGTGATAACAGATGAGCCAACAGCCACTCCAAAATGCTCCAGTCTACTCAATGTCTCCACGGGACCAACCGTCTTCTCACTGGGTGTCCCAACAGCGATCTCCATGATTGTTGTGTTCTGCTCAAATCAACGCAGAAAAGTGATAAACTTAAAATGTCAGTAACACAGACATGTGGTATGGTTATTTTCATTAATGGCTAGATTTAGTACAAAATAGCAGTCCTATGGTTAGCTTCGGTAAAGCAGTGAATCAAATTTATAGATCATCTCGCTAATACCTATGCAATTTAAGTACTTAACTCATATGTGCTTCCATCACATCTTCATTGCTTTCCTAACAGGCGGAGAAGATAAGTTAATGGCACGTAAATTTGATCGCGGTCATGTTGAGATATGTCCGCAAAAGTAACGTAATGTAGGTGCTCTGGAAAAAAACAACACTGTATGGTGTATTTTCAGAGGTGTCAATGGCTGCTGACTGAGTAAGGACTTTGATGAGTTACCTCTGAAAATAATCATTCTTCCTTTAGGTTTTTACCTTCTTCTCGGATACTTAGTCTGAATAACATCAAGGGCTGTTCCGCTCAGACTGGAAGTACAAGTAGATTACGTCTTTACGAACCAACTTCGGCCGATTACGACGTTAACACGGGCCCCAGGTCGGTTGCTCTTCTCAGTATGCTATAAAGGTCTGCTCCGTTGTTCACAGCGAGATAAATTCTGGTTCATTGGATATCTAAATAATCAATATACCTTGGCACCAGGCAGAGCAGTCTTCTGCTGACTATACGGTGTTAAGCTACGAACAATTGTCTGTTAAAATCGAATACTTCACTGAACATTTAGACAAATCGGAACTTCTCTTTAGAAACCATCTATTAATGGGTAGACAGATTATTTTCATTTACACTTAAATAATTGAAAAGGAAATCAGGGACCCTAATGTATAAAGTGACTGCCCGTTTTCAACGGCGTTGTACAGCAATGAGAGGTAAGATGCTGCGATAATGAAACATGTAACTAGAGGGAGTTTTATGCGACGACAAGTGCCGAGATCTGTGAAGAGTTTGAAGCAGCCGTGCGGCAAACTTTCTAGCAAACAACTTAGTGATGTGCATGTGGATCAACTTGATTGGGAATTCTGCTCTCCTGCCCCCACAACATGTACTTTCTTCGCCTTTAGTCTCCGCTTATGGTCCTACAATTAGCTACTAACATTTTGAAGGTTACCGGCAATTCAGATTATGCGTAGGGATGGTGGTCCCTATGATCTCACTCTAGTTAGTTTAAGGAAGCGAGTCAATTCCTTCGCCATCCCTTTGACAGATCTTTTCGATAGTATTCCCTTAAGTTAAAAACTCCTACAGCTAACATGCAATCAGAAAATTTCATCCAATCGGCTGCGTATCGGTGTTGCTGAAGAGTTTCGAAATGTATCTTATGCCACAGATTTCTGTCAGCACT